CCACCCCCATCCCCTGTGCTCTGAACATTCCTCCTATGAGGCTTCCTTAATTGATGCAACTCACCACTCCTCTTCGTCCAGCCAGTTCCTGAAATCTAGGCAACAAAAGGGGGCAACCAGCGATGTGATGCCTTGTATCAGCAGTGGGTGAACGCTTTATGTCAGTCTCCACACTCTCTCCTGTAGGTCCTGCCCACATCCGCACTGCCAGAACACAGGTGTTAATGGCAAGTTGCACAGCTCTGCTGAAGCCAACAACGGATTTGTGCTGCAATTTGTCCATTGAAAATCACTCACCGCCTAGGAAATCCTACCACAGTATGAAGACACTGTGCAGGAGACAGATTTCTTAAAGGCAACAGGGCTGCCTGCTTAGAGGGAGCATGAGAAAAACATGGGATCCGCTGACACTGAAAGGAAGGTGTCGCTTGGCAGCTTTTGCAATCTTTTAACCATAACAGAATACGGTTGTAGGCAGAGGACAAGTCAGAATTTGTTTGGACAAGGCTTTGCAGAGCTTTGCCATTCTCTCTGCCACTTTATAATTAGAAACCACACTGGGATTTTCTTCCTAACTGTTCTTAGCAACTCCATCATGTCATTAACACCTTGACTGTGTAGGAACTGGGGGCGAGGGAAGGTGAAATTACAGGGGTCTTGTGTCTGAAAGCACAGGAAGAAGAACCATCACAAAACAAACTCCAGAAATGGAGGGTTAGATAATTCGGCATCAAAGAAAAATATCTGCAGGTGCTACAGCTGCCCTTTGCTTCCCACTGGTTGACCTCGTATCAGAGTATTTGCTGTCGTGATTCCTAATACTATCCATGTGAAAACACAGTCCTTGTTTTTAACAAGTAATAATGGGCTAATATGTCGGTTATAGTTTCTCTTGGTTTCCCATTTTTCTAGTTCTCCACACTTCAAAATCAGTTTGCGATTCCCCTTCCATTCAACCCTTATGGAAATTCTTTAGCATTTTAGTGTGAATTTCTTCTAATATACACATTTGTATGTGCAAGTGTGTCTGCTTTTGCCAAGCGATTTCCTCTAATACAATCCATTGTTGCACATTGTTTTCATGAATATATGCATTTTTGTGCACATCATTTGACTGGATAACTCAAAATTCAAGCAAGTGTACATTTTGAAGGACGGCTGTGTTTCATTTGGGGGTCTTGTTTCAGAAAATGTGCAGAGGCGATTTTAGGGTAGCATGACCAGTACAGCTGCACTGGCCAAAGTCTGCCATTGAAGTGTGAATTAGATAGGTTCACAACCGAAGCCCCTGCCCCAATCCCTGTGATAGACAAACTCCCCCAAACTTGTCTTAGAATGAATTCAGCATTTATGAGCTTTCTCCCCAAATGTGCAGGGGCCAGGCAGCTCATCTGGTTTTATAATTCTATCCCAACTCATAAGGTAGGTTCCACCTTAGGACACTGCCATATAAAAATCAAATACTCAAAATGTAATCGATATTTCATCCTAGCCATGGTAACTCATCACAACTCAGACAAAGCTCTGCAAAATCAGGGGCTAGTGCAACTCCTGGGTGAGAAAAAAGAGTTACCTTTGGGGGTTTTTTAGTTTAGAAAAAAAAATGGTAAGTAAGGTGTGACATGATATAAAATTGTGTATGGTGTGAGCAAAGTAGGAAGAGATAATTTTTCTCATAATGCTAGAGCCAAATAAGGTGAATGTTGGAAAGTTTAGGACAGACAGACACTGCACATAAACTCTGGAATCCAGTATCACATGTAGGGTTGCCATACATCCAGAATTTCTTTGACATATCTGGAATACTATATCTGAAAGCAGTGTCTGGGCAGAAATTGGCTAAATCCGGACATATGGCAACTGATGTCGGCAGTGTCCACACCCCCCAAAAAAGCCCAATTTATTTTGATTTTGCAAAAAAAAAAAAGCTCAATAACTTTTCTGTCCAGATTTCCCCTTTTTGAAATATGGCAACCCTAACCACATGAGATTTATTTATACAATTTACAAAGCGCTTAACTACAATAGTCCATACATGGCTTAAAAAGATACCATACTCTAGAATCAAACATCAATTAAATTAATGTTGATGGCCACCAAGTTGGGTGGCTTTACTAAGAGGATTCAACATATTCATAAAACTATTAGTGGTTACTTATCATGAAGGCAGTAATGGGCAGTATTATTATTATTATTATTAGTAGTAGTAGTAGTAGTAGTAGTAATGGGCAGTTACTTATCATGTAATGGGCAGTATTCAGCTAAATATTTACATTAGCACGACGACTTGTAACTGCACAGTGTAGCTCCCCTGACCTCTCTTTTTTCCTGCTACCTGCCTAAATCTGCTCCAGAGGGTTGGGGGAAAACCCAGAGCACATTTAGAGGGCACACAGGGAGAGAAGAGGATGCACAGCTAAAAGTCATTGCACTAGTGGTCTCCCCGTAACTGGGGAACAGGAGTTGAAGAGTGCTGCTGCCCCCCCAATTGTCCCTCTCGTAGAACCTCCCAATAGGCCTCTGATTAGATGCTGCAGAACTCTTCTTATGTTGTTTTGTGTTTCAAAGGGTGCTTTTTAAAGGTTCCAGGAAAGCCTCTCCTCCTCACAGAGGGGAGGTATTGTGAGCGGGAACTGTTCCCATGGCAGCAGGGGGGCGTGTTCAGCCCCCTGTGTCATCTCTTGGCTGCCACGCCACCCTCTTGGCTGGCCAGCCAATAGGGCTGGTCGGGGGAGGGGCTGTCACATTCAAGCGGCCATGGCAGCCTCAGCGCCTCATTCTTAACCTAAATTCTTGCGTCCTTGTCTCTTATTTACCACCACTTGGGTTTGATTCCTCGACTCACAAAAGGATAAACCTGAGCTTCAGAAATAAATGAGCTGTCCAATAAATTGATCTGACAAAGCAGGGATGTCAAGAGAGAGAATTTCTTTGAAAGTAATTTGACATTTGAATTTTTTTTAAAAAAACAACGCATATCAAAGTAGTCCTCATGGGGGACCAGAACTTTGTTTGACTTCATGACACTCCGTTTTTCTGTTCTTTTCATTACACATACATTTTGAATTACATATGTGGGATACCATAATCTTTTCAACAATTAGGTCCTCTAAAGGTCTTAATTTGGCCCTGGGTGCTATGTTGTGAGTATGCAAAACTACACTGACTTTCAACAACAGGTTGGCTCGCTAGCCATCCATCATTTGTGGTCACTGCAACAAGGGGTGGCAGAGAAACTCAATTCAGCTTACATTTAAAAGTGAATCTATCAAATTTGCACTTTCCGGAATAATGAGAACCAAAATACAACCACCCTTCAAAAGTTGCACTTTTCTGAACGCTATGATGCAGTTCTCCAATTAAATAATGTTTACAAAAATGGCTGGAAGAGGAAGCGTGCCATATTAGTGAATATGACATTGCAAATGCCTATGTTAGCAAGAATGGCTTGCAAAAATATGTGCATTCCTCGAAATTGCATACAAAGATGCATTTATTCGGAGAAATTCACACCGAAATGATGATGAATTTTCATGATAGTTTTTTTTAAAAAAAGAAATTGAACGGCTGCAGAAATGTAGGGAACTGAATGGAAGACAAGAAAAATGAGAAACAGAAAGATCCTGCCACGGCTACCAGTAACCTCAGGCATGCACAGAGGGCATGTGAGAGAGGGGGTAAGGGGACGACGGGGGCTTCTCTCATTTGTGCAGGATCTATATATATATATATAGGCAAAGGAAACCATCCATGTCCAAGATAGCACAGACTTCTTCTCTGCTCCTCACATGAGCCAGTTGGTAGAAACTGCAAGGAAACAGATATTGGCCAGCAGCAGCAGCTGATGTGGTGTGGTGGATCTGTGGAACCGCTCTTCTGACACCCATCTCTCTGCTGCTCACCTGGATGCTGCAGGGATGGGGCAGAGGGGCAATGAGGGGGCACCAGCTGAAACAATCTAGCACTCATGATGATGTGCCCCCATAGCCACACCATTAAGGTAAGCAGCAGCAATGCAGGTGCTGAGGCCAGCTCCACTGTGCAGTGAATGCTCCTGATTTTGACAAAATGTTAGAACAGACCCAGCAGCAGAACCGAGGCAATCTACAAAAAAATGCATATTGGGAAAAATGCATACAAAAAGCGGGAAATAGCATAAGATTGGGTATACAGTGGACGCTCGGGTTGCGAACGTGATCCGTGTGGGATACAGGTTCACAACCCGCAGTGTTCGCAACCCACAGCAGCACGTCTGTGCATTTGCGGGTTGCAATTCAACGCTTCTGCGCAAAGCACGATTTAGCGCTTCTGCGCATGCACGACTGCCGAAACCTGGAAGTAACCCGTTCCGGTACTTCCGGGTTTTGGTGGTCTGTAACCCAAAAAAACGCAACCTGAAGCATCTGTAACCTGAGGTATGACTGTATTAGGGAAATGTGCACCTACATAGCAACAATTTATTTAAAATGATTAAATTGTGATAGGGAAATGCAGAAGACTGACCTTAAGATTGGAAAATGAGAAACATCAAGAGAGGCCAAAATGTGTGGCTCTGTCCATCCCTAGAGAGGCTGTGATTGACCCAGAGTCCCTAAACGGGTCTCAATAACTTTTTCTTAAGATCCTAAGAGATTTCTTGAACCTTCTATTTTTTAAGAGGGTTTATAAAACAGTCCGTGTGCTCAGGGGAGTCGCAAGTTGATTTTTAAAGTTGATTTTTAAAATGCTCCCAAAACCATGATAAAAGATGGTTCAGAAATTGCACGCAGAGAGCCCCGGAGCCTAACCCCTTTCCTGGCCTTCGGTGTTTTTGCATGTGTAATTCAGGCAGTTTTTCTTGCTGCTGCAAACAGCTGAACAAAACAAACCAAGCCATGTGATTGAAAGAAACCTGAAGCAGAGGCTGGGGCTCTCTCAGTTCGGCTCCACCCCTCCCTTGGGTGGCCACACCTCACTGATATCATGCAAAAAGCAAAATAAAAGGGAAGAGAGGAGGAGGAGGAGGAGGGAAGGGACGGGGGAAGAAAAGAGAAGCACCTTTGGTATGTCACCAGCGTTCCAGAGAATGACAATCATATTTGCCGGTTAATCAGGGTTTTGGAATTGACCAAGAGGAAACGCATGTTTTGTGATGATGACACAATCCTTGTTGGCATAGTTGTTTAACATGAGGGAACTCCCACAAGGAAAGGCTTAAAAGCACTTAGCGAGGGCTGAGGCACTTCTCAGACGCTGCCAGAAAAGAGAGGGAGTGTTTGCGTGTTGATTTCGGTTCCTAGTAGATGTCAGAATGAACTCCGGCCAAGGCTTCTACCACTTCTCTTCTGGATCTCTCAGGGGTGCTTCAGGATGCAGCTTCTCACACATCGGAGATCCCTACAGAGCTGGCACTCTGCACGGAGGAAGTGGCTGTCTACCTGTCCCCATGTCCTTTGGAGCACCCACCTGGCTAGCCTCTGATGCCGGGGCAGGCTGGGGGGGCTTCGGCGGGAGCCACGGGGACATCTTCATGGGAAGGAACGAGAAGCAGATGATGCAGGACCTGAACGACCGCTTGGCCTCCTACCTGGAGAAGGTGCGTTCTTTGGAAGAGGCCAACACTCAGCTGGAGGGCTGCATCCGGGACTGGCACAAGAAGAAGTCTCAGGGCACCAAGCACGACTTCAAGGATTACGAACAAAACATCTCAGACATGCACGAGAAGGTAAGTCTGAGGAGGCGCAGACTGGCTTACATTCCTCCATGGGGGAATTCAAGTACTCGTTCAGCTCAGCAATATAAATATCTGAAATGGTTGCTTCTGTTGGGTGTTTGCTTAAGAGCTGTCCTCAAGGAAAGGTGTGGACTCCAAGGGTAGGAAAGGGTGAAGAGGGAGGGGAGGCAACCCTGAAATGTATATATTTTCAAGCACACACATTCTCAAGCAAATTCTCCTAACTACCATTTTGCTCAGGGGGGAAATGTTCATATTTCTATATTTTTTATCACATTGCAGTTATGGACGGTGTGGAATTTATGGGCTTGGCAGCACAATATGTTGAATTGGTGTGTTAATACTTAATACTAATCTTTGGATTTTAAATTAAGAATTGTGTTAGCCTATATGTTTTTATTATATTAAAGTAGGTAAATTTGATTTGGGATGGGGTGGGGAGGTCAAGGTTAGGGTTAACATTTCAGACTCAAACTACTCACTGTGTTTCCAATGTGCACAGAACACGATTTGAATTCTAGACAGAATGTTGCACTTCGCTCTTGCTTCTCAGATACACCGCGACTGAAATGATGCCAGCTATTTCTATATACATGCATCTCATGTATATATTATAAAGCATAATTTTTAGTTAACCTACATCTCCTGCAAGAGCACAATGTCCCTGTTAGAATATGCCGGGATGCTAGTTTTAGGAGTGAAGCCTAGACACCCTTCTAAATCGTGGGTTAGACCTTGAACAAGCTGAAAAGGATGACATGCTCCAATAAGATATGGATGGGAATCCAGGGGACGAGTCACCCAGTGAGTGCAAGGCATCGGATGATATCCCACTGACATCACAAGTAGACCCATTCGGATGAATGTGCCTGCTCTGAGTATGACTTAGAGGGATATCTTGAGCAGTGAGCAGCTGAGACTGGGCAGCATTTCTTTACATAGCAATCTGTGTTATACCGACTTGGACCATTGGTCCCTATAGCTTAGTATTGTCTACACTGACTGGTAGCAACCCTCCAGTCCTTCAGACAAGGAATCTTTTCCAGCTGTACCAGGGATCGAACCGGGATCTTTTGCCTGCAAAGTAGATGCTCTGCTGCAGAGCTACAGCCTATTCCCCACTGTTAGCAAGCAATGTTGTTGTTGTTGTTGTTGTTGTTGTTGTTGTTGTTGTTGTTGTTGTTGTTGTTGTCGTCGTCGTCGTCGTCGTCGTCGTCGTCATTGATTAGTTAACCATTCTTCACCCTAAGATCCCAGGGCAGGTTACAACATTAAAACACAATACAGTGGTACCTCAGGTTAAGTACCTAATTCGTTCCGGAGGTCCGTACTTAACCTGAAACTGTTCTTAACCTGAAGCACCACTTTAGCTAATGGGGCCTCCTGCTGCTGCTGCGCCGCCAGAGCACGATTTCTGTTCTCATCCTGAAGCACTATTTCTGGGTTAGCGGAGTCTGTAACCTGAAGCGTATGTAATCTGAAGCGTATGTAACCTGAGGTACCACTGTATTAAAAACCAGTTTAAAACAACTTAGAATCACATAAATGAGGTGGGCCCTAGAAATATACCTCTCAAGTGTCAAAAGCCAAAGTAAAGAGCACTGCTGAAGAAAAATAATTTGCTCGTTATTCCTGTTTGTAAAGATGTTTGCTGCTTTACAGTTCTCTATTCATTCATCCCCTTGCAGTAACCTTGGCCTAACTCTCAGAAACAGTAGCTGGAGATAGCCCTGAGTCTGGACTATACCACTTCAAACCAGAGGCAGGGGGTCCCATAACTGAATTTCATTTATAAAAAGAAACGTACCAAATGAGGTGGTGTGCGAGTGAGAACTTCCACCCAACTCCCCTTGACATGCAGGCTTTCTATGCATAGGCATCTTGGGCGACCTCATACATTTAAAGAACCACATTAAACAGTCTGGGCTTCCCCCAAAGGATTCTGGGAGCTGTTGTTTGTTAAGGGTGCTCAGAGTTGTGCGGAGACCCTCTATAGTCTATTCACCTCACAGAGCAACAATTCCCAGAGTTCCCTGGGAAAAGGGGTAGCTTGTCAAAACCATTCTGGCTGTTGTAGCTCAGTGACGGGAATAGGGGCTTCGTAGCAACCCTCAGCACCGTTAATGAACTACAGCTCCCAGAATTCTTTGGGGGAAGACATGACTATTTAAAGTGGTATCAGAGTGTTTTAAATATATGGTGTGGATGTGGCCTGGGGGTGACATTCTCTCAGTAGAGCTCCCATCTGCAGCCTGAAGGTCATTACACAAAGGGAATGCACCTGGGATATAGTAACTCTCAGAACTTTTTGTCTGCGTCTCCTCTTGCCACCTATATTTGTTTCAGAGCCGCTTCTCGTTCACTGCTTGGACTTCTGAAGATATGTATGGAGGAAAAAGTCAGTAGTAAACAGCTGGAGGCGTGAACTGGGTGAATTGCTGCCGAGAGCTCAGAAAGGTTGCAAGGCATATGTTGTCTCCCATAGTATGCCTGAGCTTTCCAGGGTTGAAGATATAGCCCTATCCCGACTGTGCCATTTCATACTACCAGTTGGGCAACGTATCATCAGCCGCAATAAGCTCAAGTCCCAATTACTGCAGTGTGCTCACCGTGGGGTTCCCCTTGAGCCTGGTAGGGTTCCTCCAGCTCATGCAAAATGATGCAGCCAGACTGCTGATGAGGACAGGCTATCATGCAACTCTGGTGCTCAGAAGTTTGCACTGGTTTCCCATATGCTACCAGGCTGCGTTCAAGGTTCTTGCATTAAGCTACAAGTTCCTTAACTATTTTGGTCCAGGATACATCAAGGACTGCCTAATCCCTTACATCCCTGCCCAACCCTGGAGGCTTTCGGGGGAGTCATTGTTGGTGGCCCCCCATGTCTGGGATGCATGGCTCATATCCGTAAGGAACTATGCATTCTGTATTGAGGGCCCAATTTTGTGGAGCTCCCTTCCGGTGTAAGCCAGGCAGGCCCCTTCCTACTGAACTTCTGGTGGCTGTTGAAGTTGTTGTTGTTGTTGTTGTTGTTGTTGTTTTCCAGTAGGCATTATAATAGAGGTTTGATTTTATAGTTTTAACTGATCATTTTACATTGTACCTTTGTACACCACTCAGCAACTATTGTAGTTGAAATATTTTTTTTAAATAAATAAAACCAGAACGGGACCTTTTGGTCTTACCTATATACTGTAAAGGGGACGCGGGTGGCGCTGTGGGTAAAAGCCTCAGCGCCTAGGGCTTGCCGATCAAAAGGTCGGCGGTTCGAATCCCCGCGGCGGGGTGTGCTTCCGTTGCTCGGTCCGAGCGCCTGCCAACCTAGCAGTTCGAAAGCACCTCCGGGTGCAAGTAGATAAATAGGGACCGCTTACTGGCGGGAAGGTAAACGGCATTTCCGTGTGCTGCGCTGGCTCGCCAGATGCAGCTTTGTCACGCTGGCCACGTGACCCGGAAGTGTCTCCGGACAGTGCTGGCCCCTGGCCTCTTAAGTGAGATGGGCGCACAACCCTAGAGTCTGTCAACTGGCCCGTACAGGCAGGGGTACCTTTACCTTTACTATATACTGTAAACTTGGCAGGCAGGGATTTTGGGTGCTGTATGTCACCCACCACATTGTTTTCAGCGCATTTACAGAGACACAGTGGTAGAAGTACTTTGCAGCTCATAGCAAGCTGGGTAGCAAGAGATATACCCGTCCACATAAACCCCATTTTGGAAGGTTCCTTCAGTGTGCCTGCCTGCCCTGACTTCCTGTTAATGTAGGAGGATGCTTGGCCGGCCCTACCAGTAAGCAAAGTAAGGCAGCTGCCTCAGGTGGTAGATACGGAGACTGGGTAGTGGGGATGGGGTATTGGAGGTCACAGTTCTGTGTGCCATAGGGACTGCCCTGCACCCCTTTCCCAGCCTTAATTTTAGTGAAAGATGCTGGCCCATCACCTGCACAGAAGTAAGATTTAACAGCCAACCTGGTCCAGTTCCGTACATGGAATAGGCAAGCCCACCATTTTGCCTCTTACCTAAGACAGCAAATTGTTTTGGGTCAATCTTAAGAGGACGGAGCTGCTATAGTGTCTCTGAGTACACATGAGGCCAGCTGTGCAGGAAAATACACACTTGCACTCTAATCTTACAAACAGCCCACCCTCTCAGCAAATATGTAATTTCCCGATAATTAAAGAGAATTTCTGGTTCTCACCAAGATTTCTACATTAAGCGTCAACTGAAGCTGCCTTCGTGCTCACATGTCTTCGTGCCTAAGTGGGGTGTTAATTGGGGCTCATAATAATGCCCATTTAACTAGGCAATAATCCCTGTGACTAATCCTATTAATGACTTTTAACTCCATGTTGCTATATAAGGCAAGAAGGCAGGCTTTTCACAACGGTGTGCTCTAGCTCTTGAAGAGCGTTCCGGTTCTGAATGAGGGTAATTTGTACCTCCCATAATCTTTGGGAGAGGCTGCCACAGAGAGCTCTGCAAAATGGCATCCAGCAGGGCCCCTCTCAGCAGAATGAGCAGCAAGGCCTATCTTACCACATTTTGAAGTAAAACACACAAGCACCTGAAAGACAGACCCTCATAGGATCACGGCCCAGGTGCTTCATGGGAAGTGATTCATAAAACAAAAATAACAATTAAAAATAAAAGTGCCTAACTGTACTGCTGTATGCTAAGTAACGCTTTCTGCATGGTGACAGCCTCTGTGCTGGCTCATGTGGGATTAGAGCTGACATGATTTATAGTTAGAGGTAGCCAATGTGGTGTCCTTCAGAGGTTGTTGAACTACAACTCCCATCATCCTTGACTGTTATTGGTCATGCCTGGCTGAGGCTGATGGGAGTTGTGGCCCAGTACTATCTGGAGGGCTACGATGTTGACTCCCCCATCTAAAGCAAGAAGCCTGAACTTGGCCAACCTGAACTTGGCCAACCACTCTTCAGCCACCGATCTTCTCAGCCCCCGAATGGCTTTCCTCAGACTTGGCTTAGAGG